TGCTTGGAACAAGGAGGGGGACACTTTCAGCAGCTGCTTTAATTTATTGTTATAACAAGGAGGGGGACACTTTCCGCAGCTCCTTTAATTGTTTGTTATTGTTATCACGATTATTCTTTAAAATAAAGTTATATAGTCATTAACGTTATTGAAACTGACAGCAGCTATACAGCTCGTTGAGAAATGAGGTTAAGTTGGTCGCTATAAGCTACTCCCTACGTCCAATGTGTCAGAGCCAACTTCGACTACGTTTTTATTTGAACGCTCGATATTTCTTTACGAAGAGTTTAATTGTACCAATATTTTCCATAGAAGTGGAAGTCAGAGTAGAGATGTTTCTACTTTATAAAAAACTACATACCAAATTTTGTTATTCATATAGGTTTATAAACCTTATTGTTTAAAAAATGAATTTAATTTTTCTAAAAAATCTAATTCTGAGAGTGATAGTTACCTATGTATCTTTTCAGATTCAGAGTACACGGACAATTAACAAAAGAAGACCGTTGAAATGAGAATATGCCACTTCTAATAGTAGACCTTATATGTTTTATATTTATTTTTATACTAATAAAATTTGTAAGAATTTTAAAACGTTTTTTTTATATAAAAAGGTAATCATCTATAGGTTATAATTAGACATCGAAAACTCTGTGGCGACAATCAAATAAATAAACATAAATAGGTTAAATCGTGTGCCGCTCCATACGTACAATACACAATGCTACTGACTGCCATAAAAACACGTGCCATACAATCGACCAAGCAAAGCGTCAAATGCACTCACCTACGCACAAACGACAATGTCTTGGCAAAACACCTGGCACATCAGGCCGACACAGCAGACATTAGGTTGCCGCTAGATACGTATCGAATAAATTGATCGATGCGAAGCTTCAGAGAAGAAGAAAGAGAACATTCTAGAAACATAAATTTCGCTACAATATATTCTCATAATGTAAAGAGTGCAGTTATAAGAAGGCAGCGGTTGTGTCATATTTTGTTTGAATAAAATTACATAAAAGAGAACATTTCCAATCTCTAGTTATAATACAGGGTGTATAAGACGGCGTTTTTCTTGTTAAAATTTAAAAATATTTTCATATACTCAATCAAAAGTAGCCAGTGTTAAAAAAATCCGTGAAATATGTCAAGTATAGTATTTAACGGAATACTGATGAGTCTGACTTGACCCGTCTATCCATAAGAGTTTCTCCCTTAATAAATTGAAATGGCAGGTGGGGACCAATGAGGTATACAGGGTGTCCCGAAATTCATGCAACAAAATTTGGTCACAGATTCTTAAGACAAATTTAGGGGACCAGTATTTTTTATTTTTGCCAAGTGGCCCCCTCTTTCGGAGTTACAGCCCCCTGAAAGCCGCCCCTTAGAATAATCTTTTTTTTATATCTCAGAACCCTGCTGTGCGAGAATCGTTAAATTTGGTACACAGGGGTTTTATGACATGTGGAATCTGATGGTGCTACGTTTTTTAGCGGGGAACCCCCTTAAGACAATTTTTCGTGGGCCCCCTTGTCTTTGGAGCCAAAAAAATTCGGTCGCATATTTAAATTTCTTAAAAATTATCTGTCCACTAGGAAGCCATTAAATTTAGAAACTTTATGTCACTTTATACTTTTTTCGTAAAACGCAATGTTTTCGAGAAAAATGTCACAATGTGATCGAATGCTTATCGTGATTCGCCATTTTCCTCAAAAACATTGCATTTTACTAAACAAAGAGACAAAAAAGTTTCTAAATTCAATGGCTTTCTAACTAATAATTAAAAAAAAAATGAAATTTGCGACCAAATTTGTTTGGTTCCAAAGACAAGGGGGCCCACGAAAAAGTGTCTTAAGGGGGTTTCTCGCCAAAAAGCGTAGCACTGTGAGATTTCACATGTCATAAAATCCCTGTGTACCAAATTTAGTGATTCTCGTACAATATGGTTTTGAGATATAAAAAAGACTTCTTAGGGGCAAACTTCAGGGGGCTGTAACTCCGAAAGAGGGGGCCAGTTGGCAAAAAGAAAAAATACGGGTCCCCTAAATTTGTCTTAAGAATCTATGAATTTTGTTGCATTAATTTCGGGACACCCTGCCAATTGTATTTCAGAAAGCATCGTTTCAAATTCAGCTTAGTAATTTTAATTTCAAAAAGCAGATTAACCAGTACATTTCACAATAGTCCAGAAGCATCATCATAAACTTTTCTCATTATATTTACTTTTTCCGTCTTCCACTTTTGGTGTGACATGATAAAACTACAATAAAATCCATCCGCCTACAGTACTGTCCCATCAAAAATGGAAATATCTTTTTAATTTTTATTTATAAAAAGTTTCTGAATATTCTGAGACACTGAATAACAATTTTCACTTTAATCTACATAATTTTTTTTCGAATAATATACATTTTTTCTTTCGCAGGATCCCTGTTTCATTAAAAATGAGTCAATATAAATTAAAAAATTTACATAACGAATTTTCTCTGCGCAATAAACAAGTCGGGATTTTGTAATCTCGCTCCACGGCACACCTGATGCTTTTAACTTTAGAGCCGTGCGGTTCCACAAAGTTCATGGTCTATTTTGAAAGTAACAACTTCAACTTCGTAATAGCAGCTGCCTATGACACGGACGGTACCTAACACAAAACGTATATCCTTAATGGCCAATCGATTCGAAATAATGAGCTTTACTTTGTATTTAAATTATAGAACACTTGTCGGAGATGATTGACGGCTTGTTGTCAAAGAGGTGGTGGCGCCAGCACGAAAATATTGTGTATTTACTCGTTATTTCGTGAGTTTACATTATTTGTCATACTAGGAAAAAAAAAACAATTCCTTTGGACGTAATAGGGGGGAAATTATATACATATGCTTCGAGCACTATTTGGTAACCTCATTAGAATCCTTAACAATAAATAAAAGGTTCAAACAGATTCTAATTTTCGATGAAAAAAAACTCTCTTCCCTTTCAAATATGGACGCCTATTACTAAACGATAATTTAAATGATTGTGTTAATACAGCTTTTGAACTTTTTACCTTCCTGATAAGATTGTGCACAAACTAATTCACGTTGTTTTGAATGAATTGTTATTAATTTGGTTCTATTGTATTTTCCAGAAGATTATCAATAATTGCATTTCTTGACAGTGATAAAAAAATTGTTTAATAAACTTCGGAATCTAGTAATACTCGTCAAATTAATACTTACTCCGGTGAAGTATTATTTTGCAGAGTTGCCATTGAAGAAGCCGAATGTGAAGAACGGCGAAACGTTGGGAAGCATTGGATGTGACCAGTTGCAAAGGCCACTGCCACCATTACCCGAGGAGTGGTTCCGTCCATAGCGGCCTTAGAACCAATAAGAACCGAAAAGAACATAAGGGCGGACCTAGAATTTCTAATAGCTGGTCCGTCCCCACAAAGCCTAGCTCGAGAACAACAAGGGCAGGTCAAAGATTCCTAGCTAGGCTAAGGAAGTAAAATGTAATCCTTTAACTGACAGCGACCAGATACACAGACATGGCAGAAAACCTCGAAAAAGCATATACAGTAAATATAATTTTAATTGGTATTTACGTTTTATGGACGAAAAATCTTCTAAATTGTGACAAATCCTAATTCTGTAGCCATCTAGTGTAAACCGGATTCGGATTCAGCTACTCCCAAAACGTATAGATATATGTAGGTTTGCTTTGTTGGCAATTGATTCTTTGACCTTGAACTGACCTTAACCCAGAGCTAATCGAGTCAAACGGACACCGGATTCGAATTGAGCGATCTGAGAAATACATAGATACCATGGTCTTCTCTTTCTGACCTCCCAGTTGGAGGGACATTTTACCTATTTGAAAATATAATTTTATTTTTATTTGAAAATATTATTTATATTCAAGAGGCACTATCATACTGTTTGTTGTACAGTACAGTCCAATACAGTACAGTGTATTGTGCAGGATTGGGAGTTGAAAATCGCTGGAAAACACCTCGAGAAAAGGAGATAGTGATACGCAAAAAACACTCCGATACGGTCGAATCCAGATACCAACTGAATTGCGTATTGGTGGTTGCTGGACACCTTAGTACCTCGTGTTAATAAACCGCCGCGCCGTTGTCACATTGCTCGATATGACTTTTACCGAATTTTAAATTTATTACTATGCTAATTATTTTTTACAATTAAACATAAAGAAGTTCACAGAACTGATAAGCATTGTATTTTAAGGTATTCTATGCATGCAATTATGTCAATATTCCATAATTAATCGAACTTTTGTACATCAAGTTGGAGATTTTGATAATTTTTTTTCTCGGAAATTGTTGAGTTTAGGTCCTATGTCACATAAGTTTTTTTTGTTTATTTTAATGTATTCTATCGTCTGTTAAAATTAAGACAGTCAAACTTCTAACACCCTGTATACAGAAAACTAGAAGTGGAATACCAAAATTGGGGTTTGACAATAAATGACAGTATTAAACATAGGTGACGAACAACAAAACGAACAGCTAGAAATCAATAAGATTAAACCATGCGTAAATTATAAATACTTAGGGAACTTCATTTCCAAAAAAGGAACACCAAAGCAAGATATAAAGTGGAACAAGCAGGAACAGCTGTTCGAATACTAAACTCGATCCTCTGGTCAACAAAGATGAAATTACAAAAAAAAAATAGAAATTTGCAATACAATCATAGAGCCGATTTTAACATATGTTTCGGAATGCTGGCAAATGACGCATAATAATAGAAGGAAAGTAGAGGTAGTAGAAATGGACTATCTACGGAGATTACGTAGATTGCAACATGTACCAAATGAAAAAATTAAGCGGAAAACAGAAAGAATATAAAATACAGTCGAGAAAATTGAAACAAAACAATTAATATGGTATGACCATGTGATGATCATGGAGGAAGATCGTTGGCCAAAGAGGGCTTTTCAATATACACCAAATAAAGAGAAGAAGAAGAAGAGGAAGATCGCAAACATCATTAAAGGGCGAGATGCTTGATAGAGCTAGAGAAGACAAAGAATGGGAGAACAAAGGTATGTAGATAGAGACTGAAATGCGAAAAGGGCAAAGAAAGCTGTAGGATCGCCACAATATCTGTAATGATTCAGTCAAGATTTTCACTGAAAGTATCCAATACAGAAACATTTTGATGAGCATTACAACTCCTCAAGTTTGTACTCCATCCTCTTGACAATTGATTCTTCCCGAGATGCTTCTATTCTGTGAACAGAACATGTTAGCACCCCTTTTTCAGTTATTATTTAAATAAGCAAAACTAACCAAACGGATGAGGATCTCTAATGTATATAACTACAAAACATTTAAATTATCTTACTGGATCTCATTACACGTGACATTTTAATCACGTGTCCCATTTTAAACGTGACCTATGCCCTGTTCTATAGTAATCCTGACTTCAACATACAACAATACGAGTAAATTTATCCCAGCGTGGAAATGCACCCATACGTTATCCGGCCGGTCCGGTTTTTGTTTATTACATCCCCCTCTGCCTTTC